GGGGGGGAGGAGGAAGCCATCTTGTCTGTGAGAATGAGGAGTGAGGGCCATCGCCTGGGGCTCGAGTTCACAAAAAGAACTAATAAAACAATAACATTGAGCACGTCAAAGGGTATGTGAAAACCTTAGAAACTAGTGTTCAAATCCAAAGTAGAGATAACAAATGTACCCAATAGAATAGTCGATGCGTCCAGGTGAGCCTGAACACCATCGTTATAAGAAGAAAAAGCGAGGCCTAGGTCTTCAAGTTCCCAACAGTGAACAACAACAAATCCAGTGTAATCCCACAGTTGAGGTCTGGAGAGGGTAGTGTATACATAGACCTTACCCCTACCTTGAGAAGGTAGAAAGGCGATTCCCGATACCGATAGATCCTCGGCTCAAGAAAAAGATAAAAAAAGGAACAGTAACAACAAACAGTAACAACAACGACATAGTAAGTTCCCAACAGTGAACATTCAAAAATTTAAGGAATTGAACAGGTGAGAAAGCTTCTCCAATTCGGAACTTCTTCGCTCTACAGTAAGCATAAATAGTACGAAACCTTTATTATTTTCTCCAAGTGATCATATTCTCTCTTTAACTGAACCAAATGACGAGTGCAAAGCTCTAGCAACGTCTAGTTTACTGGAAAAAAGGAGCACGAATGTAACATTCCTTCAGCTGACTTGACTATATCTATTTTTGATCAAGACATATTTCACTGATTACTTGGCTATCTCTATCTAGCAATTCTGTATAGCAAAAACCGCAGCAAAAAACTAACAACCAGCATATTTCATTAGCTAAAACGAGATTTAGAACATGACTTATTTATTAGAACATAAAGAGCAGTACAAGCATGATCCAACATTTAACAATTTTTAGATCTTACGAGATACATTCATATTTCAAAATGCTGTATCCTCAACTGCTAACTTCCTGCGAAACAACGGGATCATAATTATGAATCGGTTCATGGATTGACCTTTGGAGCCCATCCTGCAATGACATACTCTTTTGCAGCCTTGGTTTTCTGGAAAGACTCTCGCTCGAAGAGCAACTGCAGAAGGAGAACAAAAAGGTGTCAACTCTTGCACCACTTTGCTTTTGTTACAAGAAAATGGAAGAAATAACATCCTAGTACAAGCTAAGCATGGACAGAGCGAAGCAAAAGACTAAGGAATCATAAAAGCAGCACAGTTAATATGTGAAGTTTTATATCATACTCAAAATTTTATACTTCCGCTGTCCCATTTTATGTGACAAGTTTTAATCAGGTAGGAACATTAAAATGTTAATGTGATTTACACATTATACTAATAGTTTTAAAGAAAAATATAAAAGACTGCCACCATTTCAGGACACAGATGAGAAATAAAACAAACTATAAGCATGGAAACCCTAATGAAAACATAGAGTTCCATGAGGAGAAAGAAGCCTGTTAAATGGTTGACAGACGGTATAAGCTGTCACAAAAATGTCTTCTTTGTGCAACTGACACAGCTGATTCTGATCATATCACTGCTTCTATACATTCCCTTTAAATTATTCCCTCATACATTATTTCCAAAAAAATAAATCTAACATTAGCTAAATCCGTAAAAGAAAGAAATCATCAAATGGAATTAACGCTCACTTATAATTAAGAATTCATGTTGTTGAAAGTAAATTATGCACAGAGAGGAGAGTGCATACCTTCATGTATTTACGCACATGACTCAAGCTTTCAGGTACACTCCACTTCTTGAAATGGCCAAGAGCCACCTCAAGATGGTACAGTTTCGGAGCCAAACTCAAATCGACTGAACAAATATTCGCCCCATTGACATATGGTCCCTGAAGAAATTCACCACCAACTGAAGTTAACATCACGGTAAAAATAAGAGAAGCATACTAAAATAAAAATATCAGGCAGCTCAATGAAAAACAGCATACGTGAGCCTTGAGATGCTCTTCCAAAGCCTTTAACTCGTCGAGCAGAGCCTGCTCAGTACCGTCACTAGCATCCTTGCTCTTCAGAAATGAGACAAAGGAAGGAAATATTTTCGAGCCCCTGTAATCCCAGATAAGTTACAGATGATATTCCATCCATTGACATCAATGAAATAAAAAGGAAACAGCAACAGACGGACAAGCACAGTACAGAGAAATCAAGTAAAAGGAAATACTCAGTAGAAGAACAAACTAATTACTCCTTTACTCCTTATTGAATGTCCATTTTGACTTGGCATATTAAGATGAGAATCTAAACGTGAAACATATGAGGCACTGTGGTAACTTTTTTTGTTTCTGCAAACAAGTAAGAGAATCTTGTATGCAGTAATTAAAATATATAAGGTGGTGTTTGGTTCAAAATTTTGAAAAGGAGTTTTTGCAAAACTCCTTTAGATTGTAGTAAGAACTGTTTATCAACCAAAACGACAAGAAAGGAAAAACAATTTTTTTTCCAAAAGCTCTTCTTCAAAATTTTAAACCAAATGCTATCTAAGACACTTGAGATAAGACAGAATATGTAAAATCAATTTGGGCCACAGGAAGTAAGAGTTTTTGCATGATCTAAAGAAACTCAAGGCATAAAAGTGAAGAGAACTATAGCAGAGCTCATTAAAATTTAAACCCGACCGGGGTGGGATGTGTGTGTGGGTTGGGGGGGGGGGGGGGGGGGGGACAAAAATTGTAGACTAAGCCTTGCGTTAGTAACTTAAGGAGAAAAAATGCCATTTCTTAAATATCAACAAAATTAACAGGGGACAGATTGTCCAAAAACATTTAGGAGGTAAAAGCACATAAAGGTACAAGATTAATCTATAATGTTAGTATTAGGGAGACAACGCTAAGCAGTTTGAACTAGTTTGACTTTGACCAAAGGGATAAATTACCGAGTGTTGGAATGAAATATGCCCAAATGGAGCAAAATGTATATTGGGGATTCATAAACCCAAACCAACTATTTTGGAAGGAAGGAGGGGATATTGTTCATATCATGAACAGAAGCATAAATGTAGCTAGCAAAAAATGCAAAAACCTAAGATAATTCCACAATTTACTTCACCCCATGGAAAGAAGAATAGAACTTGGGGAAGTTAAAATGAAGAAAACCTTTTCACAGAATTTTGTAGGTAAAATGCCATGTTAAAGTAATTAGAAATAGCAACTCTGTAAAATGCTTCCACTTTTGATTTCAATAGAGAGTGTGGGACATAAAGAAAAAGTTAATTATCTTCTCTTTAATAACTTGTGATACATTACATGAAGTTCCAATTTATTTCAGCGCCCTGAAGCGAGGCTCAGAACATGTTGAGCGTTTCGCTTCGCTTAGCGGGCTCTTCAGTGTCATCATCAAGGCTCTAAGGCATAACTTTTTCTTGCCAATGAGCGTAACGTTGAAGAGACGACACTAAACAATTGATATTTCACTTTATCCTTTTTTTTTCAATTTTTTGTCCATATTTTGACATTCATGCTTATAATTATTAGTCTTGGACTACACATACATATTTAGTTTTTCTCCTTTTGCGCCTTCCTTTAGTAAAGCCCACACTTTATTTGCGTTTTGTGCTTAAAGCACCAATGGACCTTAGAGCTTTTATGCGTTTTTCGCTTTGGATAACACTGACTTTTATCTATAGCAAATTCAGAGATGCAGCAATAAAATATGCAATGTGGTCAGTGTAGAAACTAATTTAAATGGGGGAAAAATAGGAGGAAAACATACACAGAAGCAAATTCAGGGGGAGTAGAG